CATGTCTCTCTTGAGACTAGAACTGGACAGAGCACTCCAGATGTGGCCTCACTGGGTCTGAAGAGAGGGGAAGGATCACCTCCTGCAATCCATTGGCAATGCTCTTCCTAAGGCACACCAGGATAACATTGACATTCTTGACCACAAGAGCACACTGCTGGCTCATGGACAGTTCTGCTCCAAGGAATCCCTCATTTCTCAGGCTCAGGAACAGTACAGGGGAACACTTCATTTTTAAGGCTGCAGCAATGGCTGGGATTCATAGATAAAAGCAAAACCTACACACTGTCAAGGGAGGTGGGGACGGTGGAATTCAGTTTCTGAAACCCCCTTCTTGGGGTAAGCACTGCTACGCTTTCAGAAAGGGAAGTTTATCCTCCAGCTCTACAGGGAACGAATATGGTGCCATTTAAAGACCCAGCGGCCCTATAAATTGCTATGAGCTAAGTCATCTCTCCATTCCATGGTTACCATGGATAAATAGTAAAATAGTGATTAAATAATTAGTATTCATGATGTATTTCATGAAGCTTTTTCCTACACAAACCTTCAAATGATCATTAAGGAGGAAAAAAATCCTGCACAATGCTTTAATGCTGCTACCAACTGTATTAATTGTAACATGGATTTTCAGTAAAAATTCAAGACACGTTTATGAGACAAAGACAACCATTCTAGAACAAAGCACATAACTAGACCCACACATCCATGACCACAAAATAACCTGCAGAGGAAGAGAGAGACAGCTACAGGGGTGCTGATCTATCTAAAAAAAAAAAAACAACAAACAAACAAACAAAAAAACCACAACAACAACAACAAAAACAACACCAAAACCAAACCAAAGCAAACAAACAAACCCGCCAACCAAACAGCAGAAAAAACCACCTTGCAGCTGGCAAGGAAACATGAAGCTATGACAACACCATCTTCTTCATGAGTCCCAGATCAATAAAAAGCTATATGCCTTGTGTGCTGAACCAGCGACATTACGTGGTAGGTGTCGTTTGTATTTTTAATATGGTTCATCTTTAGTTCAATTAGAAATATTTGGATGGAATGCCACCTAATCATTTTGTTGATGCATGGCAAGTCTTTACTGTCAGCAGTCGGTCAGCAGAAATACAGACAAACAGAGGTAAGAATTTAGTCTTAAAAATGAAAATACATTAGTAATATCATAATTGTATTATAGTGCACTACACTTTAGCTGTAAGTAATTTCATTCATTGTGTATGCAACATTTAAACTTTTATTAGCCTCTCTGGATGGGAAAATGACTGAGTTGGAACCACAGAGAAGGAAAGGATGTGCTCGGTGTTGCATTACGCCGTTTGTTTTTCTTTTTTAACAAGAGGACAACAGCTTCAGGCATAGTAATGCTAAAGAAATCTGCATTTGATTATATTTAATGCACACTTCTTCATCTTTTGCTGACATAACAATGGTAATCTGAAAACAAACATGACTAATATATCACTGACCTGCATCATATATATTTACATGAGAAAAGGCACTCTGCATGTTTAAAATGTCTCTGTAGAAGCACCATGTAGCAATACACAAAATCAAAGATGAATAAAAGCTTTTCAGGTTTTCAGTTACCGTTTTAAGGAAAAAAAGGCCCACCGTGTTTTTGTACCATAGATACTAGAGAATATATAACATTTAATTTAAAACTGAAACAGTCTGTTAACTTAAAAGAGAAATTTAACTATCTTTTTCTTCCCAGTGTCAATACTTTGAGCACAATTCCAATTAATTTTTTTCCATTATACTGCTTGCGAACACTTAAAAGAAGACAAGCTGTAAATCTAGTCCTCTAGATGATTTTGTAAGGGATGCCATTCTGTTTAGATAGGAAAACGTTATGCACTACATAATACAAAAGTGGTGGCACCAGCTGTGGGTTTTCTATCACAGGTTTGCAAACACATCTGATCTAATTGATGAGCTTTTGTTTAAACATGCATTGATATGCATCCCGTGATGCATATGGTTTCAAAGATTCAGAGCAATATACAGCCCAAGTGATCTGCCTCTGATGTTAAAACAACTTTTATATGACTGAGAATATGAAATATCTTTATTAATGCTACTTCCACAAATAAACAAACAAACAAAACAAAACAAAAAACCCTAACCAAAATCCCTTAATTATTATATAGCTGTGCTTGTTCCAGTTCCCATTGAAACCTACAATTCAGTTCATACTGAGTTTAACTGAATGATCAGGACCACTGTGGATAAACATTTATCCTCTGTGCTTTGCAACACACAATTAAAAAAAACTAATTTGAAATCTGCCGTTACTGCAAGCAACTTACACAATCTTACATGCTCATGCACATATAAAATGAATTATAGGTTTCACATTATCAACTTACACCATATTTTGCAAACATATCAATTCTACATGTGATTTTCCTTTGTTGCAAACATCTTTCTTGCATGTTGCTCAGAAATAACACCTTTTCTTTATTATTATTGAAAATAAATTAATTTCTCAAATATAAAATCTGAAAACAGTTATTTTATCTCATTAGCCAAATTCAAATTATTTTACCAGAAAGCAATGACATGTAATTTAACATCAAGTTGCCATCAGAGAAAGTCTGTGTCTAGACTGTGCGACTGATATTCAGGGTCATCTTTATCTGAATAAGCAGTAGGAATACAGCTTCAGAAATAAAGGCATTACTTGATTTTTTCTTCTTTCTCTTCAAGTATCATTTCAAGATGTTTGAAGACTCAGCGTGTGTCAATAATCTTAACTGATAGCCAGTCTTTTTCTCAATCTTTGGCCTATGTAAAGCCTTCCCCCAAATTTAAATAAAATTGCACTTGGAATTTACTATAGGTATTTTTTAGTGGATTCTGCTTTTCTTTGTATCATAGAAAAGCAATTCTTCTAATTACGGAGACAGATGAAAAAAAAGCACCAAAGCACTAAGGGAAATTTAGGGAAATTGCAGAAAATTCCTGGGTGAGAGGGAAAGAATGGGGTCTCTGGTTTACCATGCTGCCTTGTTCTCTACGAAAATACTGAGTAAAAGATTCATTACAGGGAAAACTATGAATATTGAACGAAAGAGCAAAATGATAGTTTTCATTCTCACCTCAATCCATGAAAAGGATTGTAAAACTGTAAAACTTCTATTTGAGAGGATATACGGCACAGTTAAAATGGGACACTTTCCCATGTAGAACTTGGAGGAAAACAACTTCTAACAGAAGTATACTATTTACAATGAATCCAATCAGAGACCTTTATTTGGTTTGAATGTTGTTTTCATTTTTTTTTCTAAACTCCCTTTTGATTAATTGTAAATTCATCAGGATGGTCCTTCCAATATCTCATTACAGCTTTACTTCCAGTTCTATTCCCTTGTGAAGCAGTAATTTTTGGCATTGTTCGTGCCACCTTTACTGTTCAATTCAGCAGCTCCCTCTCTCTCCTAAGGCAGAAGTTGCTGTTAGCTCCCTGCACTGCAGTGCAATGCAGCCCAAGTACCAGCAATACCAAGTGTGTTTATCTGAATAGGTTTCTCTTGTGTTGTACTAACCTCTGCAATCCAGCCCCCTCTACATCAGAGATACACTCATCAGCATCCTAATCCTTTACGTGAAGGAGAGAAGGATACTATCAATCACAGAGGAGCCTTTGGGTGATTACAGCATCTTTCAATAACACGTTCTTCCTCCTCCCCACCTGTCTTTATGTGCTTCTTCCTTATTTCTTGCTTCTTTCCTCAGCCCCCTCCTTTCTGTACAGATGTGCCATGGCTGCCCCAGTGAGCATGACTCAGCTCCCACCCTCGCCCCCTACTCACACTGCGCCCACACTGCTTTGCAAGATTAGTGTCCAAAGACTAATCAATGACCTCCATGTTCAATTACCTCCATGTCACCCAGCCCTCCTGTCCCTGCGGTGTCCTGCCTCCCTTCAGCACTGCCAGACTAGCTCCTACGCCTCTTTGAATAACTAAGGCTCTTCTACCCTTCAACACTGTTTAAAGGAGATGGGGGGGTTGCCTCAAAAAAACTCACCATCCCATGGCTCTTCCTAACACTGGGACTTGGATTATACTTTTCCTAACTGTGACTTCTCCACACTCCCCTCCCCATACACTGCCGGAGGCGTCTCGGGACCCAAATTTCCAAAGCACCCTGCAAAGCAGGAACTTAGTGTGTTTTGGAAAAGTCCTCTCCTGAAGCTACAGGGGAGGGAGTTCCCCACTCCCCCTCAAGGGTCACGAGTGCTAAACTATTCTCCCAACGCAGTCTATGTGAGTTACAATCCTTGAAGGAAATCCACAGTGAGCAAAGCAACAGTGTTTTCAAAATGCCTTAAATTGGTTTTCTTTCGTTCGTTCGTTGGTTTTTTTCCCCCCCTTCCTTTTCTGTTTCAAGGTCTGAAACCCTGCCTGTTCCATTCTTAACAGATCTTAGAAAGTGCCGGTTCCCTGAGGAGCTGGAATTGAAAACCTTTGTGTACCTTTGATTTTCCTCGCGATCCTTGCTGCTAGGACATCTGCAAACTTGTTTTCTTCAAGCATCTGGAGTCTGCGAACCTCGACACCCCTTGTTTTTGCTCCCCTAGCGTGCAAAAGTTCTGCCAGCTTTATTATGCCAGTCAGCTTCTAGAGCAGGGATAGACGCTCACACCGCCTTGGATCTGTGGAACCTGCTCTCTCTGTGCAAAGAGCGAGCGAGATCTGGATGGAGCTGGAGCGAGCAGCAGCCGAGCACAAACTGCTCACGCTCACCGCGAAGATGAAGGGGAATCCCGAGCTCCCGCCCAGAGCTCCACCTGCCCCGAAGAGAGCTTTGCCCCCGCGCCCCCCGTCCAGCAAGCCCCCTGTTAAGTTCCGTGGAAAAGTTGAAGTCAAGCATGCAAAAAAGAAGGAAGGAAAATAAAAAAATAATTAAAAAAAAAAAAAAAAAAAAAGTTGTGGGGAAGCAGCCGCGGCAGTCCGAGTGCCCGGAGCATCACTTACCGGGGGCAGGCAGTGCAGAGCTGCGGCAGCTCCCTCCGCTGCCGCTGCCTCCTTCTCGCGGCGTGAGGCTGCGGGAGGGAGCGAGGAGCCTCCCGGAGGAGCCGCCGAGCGTGACAGACCAGAGAAGGGGCGGACCGGAGCGGCTGTGTGGGCTTCGCGTTGCGGTGGAGCCTCTGCGGCAGTGCCGGGGAGAGAGGGGGAGCGGGCGGGCGCGGCGGGAGGCGCGGGGCGGGCGGTGGCCACCACCATCAATAACCGGAGGCGTGGGGTGCGGGGAGGGCGATCCCCGCCGCACGCAGCGGCCGGAGCCGGAGGAGGGGAAGCACGGAACCGCCCCCCCCCCCCCCCCCCCCCCCCCCCCCCCCCCCCCCCCCCCCCGCCTCCCGCCACGGGCAAGGCTAGGAAGCCTCCGTAAAACGCGGCCTTTTTTCCTGCTAGAAGGGAAAAATAAAAATAGCGACGCTCACGCATGCACTTTATTTCAGAAAACAGTGTTTTATGAGAGGTGAGAACAGGGGACAGAATATGAAATTGCATGTTTCAGAACAGGTTGCAACAGGCCCGATGATCACTCGGAGATCATCGCATGCCTCCTCCTTACTCTTGTCCCAGGGCACAGGCTGTAAACAGTTTGCAGCAACAGTGTGCAGCTGTCTGTGCTCCACATCCAAAGACTAAGACTCCACATGCAAAGACTAAGAAGATCAGGGTGAAAATAAGTGGTATAGGAAGTCCCAGGAGCAATATTCACTATCCTGAGTGAAAAAATTCCTGACCAGGAGGACAGGGAAGCATTAGAACTGATTGCCCAGAGTAATGGTGGACCCATATCGTGCATGGTTTTTTAAGAAAACATCAGAAAAGTACATGTGTACAGATGATTATTTGTTTTGGCACAAATGGATAGACTAGAAGCCTTTTTTTTAAACAGCAGGATGTTATTATGTTTATTACCATAATCAACATATTTTTAATGCAGTGGTATCAAAGACTGAAAGCTATATCATAACGTTTTCACACTAGATGTTAATATCCACTGTAGAGCAAAGAATATGATTTAGTACTCCTTTATGATTACATACATTTACCTTCAATTGCACCAGCAAAGTGTGCAATGTGACAAACGCAGTGGTATTGCCCAGATGGAGATATAAGAGAAAGTGAAGAGAGCAGGTAGGACTCCATACTAAAACTACTTTTAAAAATTAGCAAATATTCAATCAGTTCTATTGACAAACATAGGACTTGAATTCATCTTTCCAAAATGTTTTAAACCATGATTAATGCCTGTAATAGAAAGGTAGGATAATGGGCAGTTACCATCATTGCCCCTGCACATGCCTAGTGTGTGTCTTCTACAGAGTTGTAATTTTTGATACCCCATCTGCCTTTGAGACTTACTGTCAATATTTGTGAGCTTATATGCATATTTTCCTATTCCTTGAAATATTTTTCTTTTTCTCTGTTGTTGAGCAGAAGACTCAAACATCAAAGGAAACCGGCTTATCGATTGGCTACCCAGGGGAAAACTGAATGAACTATGCATGGAGTGCTGTCAAGTGTGAAACACAAGTAGAGAAGCAGAAAAGAAATACCTAATACTTTTCTGTCCCTTTCAGTAATCCTAGCATTAGAAAATTGCACCTGGTGTTACAAAACAGCACCTGCCTGTAAATAGACTAAACTTGTCACAAACAATATAGAAGAAGAACAAAGATTCCAAAATTTTCCTATGGCAGCAAAAGAAAAGGCTATCTGTGCTACAAAAATAAGAATGGTGGTAAAATATAATTTCCATCCACTTACTGTTGACTATCTAAAAGGAACATATATGTATATAAAATGCATCTTAATCCAACCCTACTGTATTTTACTGAAATAAAATGATTAGGACAAAGGCACCTTGGGAGCTCCTTGGGAGCTTTTGAGCAAATATAACAACTATGAAAGAAAAAAACACCACCACATTTAGGTTTTGAACACCCAGGACTGAAATGCTAAGAAAAATAAATCACTGTGATAAAAGCACAATGGATGAACTCAAGAGTTTTTTTAACCTTACCTTCAGAGTTCATTGAGAAAGGACCACTACAGCAGCCACCTTCCTCCTCACCTACTATGTTAGGGACAGGGACGTTCATGATGTAGATTTGTAGGCATTTCGTAGCAAACAGGCAGATAGACTAAAGGATTAAAGAGAGAATTTTGTCCACAGAAGGAAAAGGTGTGTGGTTTTGTAGTTAGATTAAACTGATGTTAACACCGTGCTTCTACTGCAGAGATCAGTTCTTCCACTTGTTCTTCATTCTGTCCCTTTCTCCATCAGCTTTATTGTTTGTGTGGCTTCAGGGTAAAATGAGTTGGTGAGTAGAAATACCTGCAGAATAAAACTGGAAACCAAAGGGAAGCATGTCAAAGTGTGATGGGTTTTCAGCTAGATCAGCAATAGACTCACTTGTCTCAGGCTGAGTTAAGCCAATCCTGAACCTTCAGCACACATATAGGACTGACTGTGTTAGCTCAGATAGGTTGTTGTAGGAATGTGTAGCATCACTGAAGTAAAACTGTATGATGTCTTCTTGTTCTGTTTTCTATCTAGGTATGAAAGGATAAAATTTCTTCCACCCCAAACTTCCCCCAGCAGGAAGCTGATATCATTCCTACCACCAGGAAATGCCTGCTGAGGTCAATTGTCTGCACACCAGCAACTTCAATGGAAAAAGTATCTCTCAAGTTTGATAATTTTACACAGAATACCTCTGTCTTCCCTGCTACTGGATCTGATGATTTAGACCTTTCTGAAATTTGGTCTCGAGAGTACTCTTTCATATCAAACATAAAAATTTGACCTTTAGATGCATTCGATTAAGCTCATATCTGCTGATCTGTCACTTTTCTGTAGAGACTACATGACACATCTAGGCTTTTTCATTTACACCTATCACAGACTCAACAACACAATATTTATGGCTAGTGGATTACTCTAGAATATGACCACATACACATTGCATTCCTTCTCCAACAGGACAAAACCAAAGATGTGGTTTCTATCTGTTGAAAAGCAACTAAATCTTACTAACATTATTTTGTAAAGGAATTGAAAAATGCAAACCCTGAGATTCTTCAAAATTATTTATTCCACACTGGTTTTAAAATTACATGGTAAATAAATGTTTGTGTTAAAACACTGTAGATAGTTTGTCATTATTATTATTTTTATTTATTTTAACTTGCTCCTCAAATGCTTGTGTGTGATACATTAGTTTTCTTTCTCCATTATTTGCTTTTCAGGTTATAAATACAGCAATATCTGGCTATAGAACAATGATTAAAATAGAAACCAGCAAAGATTTATAGGATTTTCCTTGAAAAGAAACTTAAATGTTTCAGAGAATCAGGATCTTACACCACATGTTTCTTTTGTACAAGTACCACCTTTATCACTGATGTAATCCTACAAGTAATTTCCTTGATTTAAATGGGGCAATAGAAAATTATTAGAATATAGATATAAAGTGCATAGAAACATTTAAGGTTAATCTTCCACAAGGGGTCGAGGACCCACAGGAATCCTCTGAGCTGCTGTGGTAAACACCTTACTTCAAACACCAAAGCACTTCAGGATTCTATTGTATGCGGTATATAAACAATTCAGACTACATCCATGTACAGTGACCTAACACAACAGTCCTGAAAGAGACATTTGGACTCCTCTTCATTTTGAATAAGTAACAGCAGGAAAATGCCACCTAAATGTACAGAAGGAATTCATTATAGTTTCAGGTGACAGAGACAGAAAAATTGTCTGCAGTTTGTCTAAAAGAAAAATAATTCAGTTTTCTTTAGCTATGCATGAGATACTTGCCTGAATTTTACCCAGAGATTGTGCATCGTTATGTTTAGCCACATCCAATTGGAAATACACAAATATAAAGGGTACTGAGTGAAAGGGAAAAATCTGATATTTCTTTGCTGTCAGATGAAGATCACTTTTAAAATCAGTCTATATGGTACTGATTCATACACATAAGAAATATATATCAGACCATGTTTTCCCGTGGGCTCATAAAACAAACAAAAACCATGACAGGTTAAAGCTGCCTTTGATTAAAAGATCCTCTACCTCTTCTAAAATTAAAGGTGAAGAATCATGAGATGAATCTTCACATAAGGTAAGCAGGAGCAACCTTATCAGCTAAGTACTCTACTAACAGGAGGACTATTAAAACCTAAATCCTTTTGGTCCTTCTTGCATTTGTTTCCTTTTGTCTCACTGCTGTTTAAATTTCAAAATCTGATTTGCAGGAATGAGTGGCTTTCTGGACAAGAAGGAACATTAAACGTGTATTTCCTAAATCCTAGTTTAAGGTCTTCTGCTGACCTGCTGCACTGACCTCGAACAGATAATTTCCTAAAGCCACTGTTTCCTTTTCTGTTCTTTGTTTTGTTGTTTATTTAAGATTTTTTTGTCCCTACACATGAAGAATAATTTGGTCACACCACTGTCATGAATAAATCATTTAGGACACTTAGAGAATCACCATCAAAGGTATTAAAAAAGCAGGGTTAACATAAATTTAAGAAAGCATGACAAAGTTTGATGGTGAGGTTCACTCTTGTTTACTACATGGCTGAAACATGTAAAGAAAAAGTATATTAGAATCAAGTTAGAATTATTTACAAAGAGACTTGAGATGGAAAAGGGTAAGGATGCAAAAGGGTAAAGGACATCCTTCTCTTGAGTCACAAGGTTCAGAGAGGACCCCATTTCTTTCTAAACCCCTGACAGAGCCTACATGTGGCTGAGTCAAATCTTATCCCAGACAAGGTCATGGTTATTTATAAGTGCCTAATTATTGATTAATTTGGCACTTAAAAAGCAATTTAATATGACTGACTACAATTACAAGAGTGGCTTAAATGTAGACCCAAGATACTATACTTGCTTTAGGGTCTGTAAATCAATTTGTATGCTCCCACAGAGACACAAAAACATTTACATACAAATGTACAAATACCAGTGAAAAATCCCTGTCAAGTTCAGTTCACACTGAATGCCTCTGCATTTCCCAGGATGTGAGGGTTGAGCCTCAAGCAGTGGGGACAGGTATCAGCCCAGACCTCATTATCAGGTTTTGGCAGTGATTTTCCAAGTATATCAAACATGAGGGTTTGTGAGCTCTGAAAGGTGTTCCACTCAGAGGGAGATGCTAGTCAGCCTGCTGTTGCTCAAGAGATCT